CGCTCTCCCGCCCAGACCCCTGGGAGGTCTCGGTGCCCCAGGCTCTGCCAGCTGCTTCGGGTCCGGGAAGGAGCGGGTCTGGCAGAGTCCCTGTGTCCTGGCCGGGGTGACCTCGGGCCCTCCCGCCCCTTTTGGGTTGGCCGCTGGGCCCTGCGGTCGCCTGTTTTGGCTCAGCCGCTCCCCGATGCGGTGCTTAGCTCGGCCCAGGGGAGCTCAGCCTGACCCCTTCCTCCTCGCAGCCACACCAACGCCCTGCTCCGAACTGAGGTGGAAATGTTTGAGAAATGGTACCGTAAGATGGAGCCGTGCGGCCCGCCACTCCAGCTGCCATCCGAGATGCACGATGCCCCACCAGAGCTGATGCAGGTACTGCTCTGGAGCCAGGGCAGCGGCTGTGCGGCTGCAGGTACTGGGGTTTTGGGTCTGGCTGCCGCCTTACTGCACAGAGCCATGACTCTTCCTCCCTCTGCAGCCCCTCTGACCTCCTGATCTCAGTGCTTATCTGACAGGAGGTCAGCAGGCAAGATCCCCGGTTTGAAATGTGATGAAGAAAGTCCCCCAACAGCCCTCTGCGCTTGGGCTTCACAGTGATGAGCCCTTAACCTGGAGACCTCCTTGCAAAAAGGTGCTGCTGGTCTTGTAGGTGTAAGAGTTCGGGCTGCCTTGCCGTTCCTGCACTCAGTGTAAAGGCCAGGCTGCCTTCTCATTTCTCCTCCTCCAGCTGATGCTGTCTCTTCCCTGCGTGACAGCACTGTGTCCTCCTGAACATCGAGTGCCAGGGAGATCTGGAATGAGGTAACCCCCCCACAGCATAATTTGAAGCAGAAGTTAAACAAATAGGGACGCTGGTGCCAAGAAAGCAGGAGACTTGCCCAAGGCCGTGCCAGGTCTGTGACGGGACGCTCTGCTCCTCTCCTCCCTCTTGGGGAAGTTCACGTGGGCTCGGACCTGTGTGCGTCCACACTCGGGTACCTCTGCTGAGTGCATGTTGCTCTCTTCCTTCTTACTGGAGCCGTGAACAGGCTTTTGGAGCAGGTTTTTACCTCCTGGCCCGAACCTCACCTTTTCACCAGAGACAGAGTGAACAGAAGCTCTAGACCCTTTGCGGCGGAGCTCCTTTCAGCCAGTGTCCTGCGCTGGGTTTCAGTGTCTGCCTGAGTCCAAAGTAGCCACCTTCTGGTTAGTCTCAGACTGAGCCCTTAGAAACTTTGCCTTTGGCCCGGTGGGCACTTGCCCTCTGCAAAGCAGTGCCTGCCTCGCTGTGCCCCACAGCACTGGGAATTGCTCCTGAGTGGTGTCATTTCTTCCGAGAGCATACTCCAGCCTGCCCACGCTGCAGTAAGCTCAGCTCCTCAGGGCGTCTGACCCAGGTGGTGGTAGGAGACCCCATCTGTCTTACACAACAATTAGCGTCTTTGCTACGAAGAGGTGTTTTACCTGCCCACATGAAGCTGTCACGTTGGCTTTAACCTCTTAGCCCTGGATTTGCCTGTTGAACTGGAAGTGCTTGCGTAGGAGGGTTTTGTGGGTGGATGAGAGGACAGATGGGGTCAGCCCAGGTGTGGCCCTGAGTAACCTCTGCTCTGGAGAGGCCTCCTTGTCCTTGCTGTAAGCTGGAATCCTGCTAACGTGACCGTTGAGGTGATTTTCTTTTTGAATACAGGAAAATGCAGCAACAGTTGGCCAGTGCTGGCTTTCTAACAGCATCTGCGTTGTTCCTTGGTTGCTGCAGGCACGTGGCAGGTACAAATCCAAGTTGCATGGTGCGACGGACTATTTTGTAGGCCTGACAGTGGAGCAGAAATGTGAGCTGGCTGAGCGGGAGCTGACTGAGATGAAGGATGAGATTCAGAGGATGGAGGAGGACTCGGAGCAGACCTTGCAGAACCTCGAGGTATGGCTCTCCAGGACCCTTACGATCACCAAGGTGTCAAGCAGTCTTGTTACTTTTCACACCTCTTTCAACGTGCCATCCCTCAGGCAGTGAGACAGACTTGCTTGGTGAGGGCTGTTCATAGCAGAGCATTGCTGAGTGGTCCTGAGTTGAGAGTGGGAGCCAGAACTGTCCTCTTGCCTCACCCCTTTCTCAAAGGCAAGTACACCAACAGAGATCAGAGGTGCCCGCTCTCTAAAGATGGATCTTATTATGGCAGGAACTAATAATAATACAGGCGAGGGGAAGATTTTTAGGTAGAGAAGCTCAGATCTGCTATGTGAGATGAAGAAGTCAATGCTCGAAAGAAAAATCTCCTTTTTGTCAGCTTCTTGAAGGTATGCCCTTTGTGCCAGACATATTTTTCATTCTAGCAGCTCCCAGAAGCTTCCTGATTTGGCTGGGCTCCATGCAGTCCACTCTGGGGTCTGCCTTTCCGCTGTCTCTGGGATTTCTTCAGAGCATGCTCCAAGTCTCCAAGGCTGCATTCCTGCTGCAGGCTCCTTGTGGCTGCCTGTCCTGTGCTGGCTGCCAAGACCTCCTCCTAGCCAAAATGCTCAGGAGCTTTTGGGGAAGGAGAGACTTCTGCATTCGGTTCAGACCACTGATGCTGCCTGCAGTGGCCGGGAGAGGTGAAGCAGGCAGCCCATCCCTCTCGTGTGGCCACAGGGCATATGCAGTAAACAAAGGGTGGTAATTTTTTGTCTTGTGTTGGCTTGGTCAGACTGGCAATGTTTGTAGGTCAGGATGGAGTGACAGATGTTGAAGCTCAGGCACGTGAGAGAGTTTTTTCTTGTTCTTTTTGAGTCAGTGAAGTAGCAGTGCTGTGTGAGTCTGCACCATGTGCCCCGAGCTGCACAGCGCGAAACTCAGTGCTGCCACAGGAGACATGCTAGTAACTCCAGCAGAGAGCATGCCTGGTCCTTTCTGGTTCTCTGTTCCCAAACCTGTTTGAATAAGGGAAGTTAGCACCTCTTGACTGTTACATGACTTTATTTCTACAGGCAGTCATAGAAGAAGCGGATGTTTGGTGGACTGATGTTAAGAAAGCCATCAGTGACTTTGAGAAAGACATCATCAGCACCATCTCCAGCAAGAAAGGGAGTATCATAGCTTCTGAGAAGCTGCTGAGATACATGGAGGAGAAGAACCGCCAGAGGGTCAGTGCATCATGGAAAATTTTGAGGCTGGTCTGTCATCTGACAAGTATGTTGGTTAGGGAAAATCCTAGTTCCCATACTCCTGTGTGGCGTACATCATGTTTTCAGGCTGCCTTAGCAAGTCTCTTTGGACAGCCCTTGTCACACTTGTCAGTCGGTGACTAGCCCAGGTGCTCATCAGGCTGCTGAGCTGCAGCGCAGCTGTGAGCACAGATGATGCAGGGCTCTTAGCGGAGCCTGGGAAAGTGCACGTTCATGCCCCCATGTTTGGGGCAGGGTGATGCTAAGCAGCGTTTCTCGCTGGGCTCCTTTCTAAGCCAGCAGTGAAGGCTGCAGTGCGGATGAGATGAACAGGAACCACACCGTAAGGAGTGGGGTCGGGGTGCTCCTCCTCCCAGGCTCTGCCATTCCACTATAATCTGCTGTCTTTCTTTAGGATCTGCTGAGAGAGAAGTTGCGCTTAAAAAATTATTTGCTCAAGGGTTACAAGAAGAAGCTGCAGCAGCAGCTCAGGCAGGTGCGTGCAGCAGTTGAGGAGAAGCAGGGACTAGACGGCCCCTTGAAGAACGAAAGGAGTACAGCCCAGTGCAGACGCAGGGCCTGCTCTGTGTAGAGATGCGTGGCCCTCTGCCTCCTCCTCCCCTTCCTCCTTTGCTCCTGGCCTTGCTGCCTCTGTCAAAGGGCATTGTCGTCTGCCCACGTTCAGACCTGGCACATGTCTGCGTGCATGGGATGAGACCACAAGTCTCACAGAGTGGAAGCTGGCAGATCTCTTTGTGCCCTTTGTGCCCTGGAAAAGATGTATGGTGGATCAGAGCAGTTCCCTGGGGACTGGCTGCTGCTGGCATGGCAGGAGCCTCGCCAGAGGGGACGTCTGCACTACTTGGACCCTCTAAGCTAGGACACAGAGCACAGGCTCAGTGGCGCGCTGTGTCTCGCATTTCTCCCTGAGCCCCAGGTTTGCAGCCAGGCTGAAGACCCTGTTCTTTAGGTCTGCTTTCCCGACAGAGCAAAGTTCTCTTACTTGGGATGCAGCTTTGGTCAGCAACCTACAGCTCTGTTTCCTTGGGGTTTGCAGAAGGAGCAGATGGGAGAGACACTCCGTGAGGTCCGTTTGCAGCAGCTGCAGGTTAGAAATGCCCAGTACCAGGAGAAGATTGAGGAGAAGAACCAGGAGCTGCTGCAGCTAAAACTGACCTCAGGGAAGACTGTCCAAGTCCTCAACTTCTATAAAGTAAGTGAACCTCCCAGCACCTCCATTTTGCCTTTCTTCTGTTTCCGAGGGTCACACACGAGCTCTTGCATCCTTCCCTTTCTCAGTCAGAGGATGCCAAGCACCTCTCTGCCTTCCCACTGACTTAGCAGTTCAGTTGGGAGGTTTGCCTGACACACCAAGAGCAGTGATGCCCTCATTCATGTTTGGCTGCAGCCTGACGATGAGGTTCATGCTTTGCAGCATGGTTATTTTACACTGCAGGGGAAAATTCCAGTAGGAAAGAGCTTTGGTGCTGTCTTGCACAGAAAAATACATTTTTTACATTACCTGTGACATTTGAAAATATGTCATGAGCTGCAGCCATCACCGTCTGCTCTTATCAGTGAAAAGTGCCGCTCAACTGGGTGTATTTGCTTCTCTCCGATCAGCCATTCTGTCTGGGTCAGTCCTAAACCCCGGCTGCTGTGCCGTGGGCTGTGCTGCAGTGTGACACAGAGGACATAAAGAAGCAGTAGCTGCGTGACGAGGGCATGATGCTGCCTTCTGCAGGGGACGATCGGTGCCGCAGAGCTCCCTTGGGAGCAGAGCTCCGGCACCGCCAGCTGAGACCAAGCTGGAGGAGTAGAGGGGTGGCTTTGCAGGTGGCTGGGAGCTGCCACTGCGCCCGCTGATGCTGTCCTACTCTCATGTTCCAGAGGAAGCTGCAGAACGCCATGGAAACGTCCACGTCTCTGATGAAAGACATCTCCCAGAGGAAGGAGCTGCTGGAGAAAATTGAAAGAGAAGCTGCTCTGGTGGAGGAGGTAAGAGAGCGATTTGGGAGGCCCTGAGACCACTTGGGAGGACTCTTTTGAGGTACTTTTTGTGGTATGTTGGATACCGCTGCCCATTCGAGGCCCAGCAATGAGCTGGGTACCTGTGTGCCTTTCTGGGTCTGAGCAAGACGCGGGGCTCCTGCCGGTGAGCATGGGCCGGTTTGCAGAACAGGCCATGTTGTGGATTTTGGCCCTGGCTCCACAGGGACCTGCCACTGGCTTCCTGAAATTCTGTTTCCTTGAACTTTTCATCAGCAGTGTCCTCCCCAGGGAGAAGTGGCACTGCTGTCATACCAGTCTGGGGTATGTCCCCCCGCACTGGCAGGGACACCACAACTTTGGGAAGCGGGTTCAAGGGGCTCCCTAGCAGTGCTGCCTGGCAGGGATCGAGGCACTGGTGGATGCATCCCACTGCTCCCCCACAGTGCCAGGGGTTTAATTTATCCTGCCTGCCTGCTCCTCTGGAGGACTGGCCACCAGCTGGCAGAGGGACATTTCCCTGGGATCTCCTTGCCCTCTATCCCTATTCCTCCGGCAGCAACGAGCTGAAGCTGAGAGTGTGAATCGGCAGCTGCGGAAGCAGCTCTCAGACTACGGCGTCCCCCCTGTGCTGGGTTATGTGCAGAAGAAGATGGCTGTTACTGACCTCGAAAACAGCCTCAAGGCTTGGGAGAGGAAGGTGGCAGTTGCCGAGGTGAGCGAGACCGGGCGGGGTGTGCAGCAGCCTGGACGTGTGCCAGCTGGGTGCTGGGTCCTGGTGGAGCTGCATCTGTGCCTGCCTACCTGCAGCTGCCCTGGGGACCGGAGCGCTCGCTCCTGACCTGCTGGGAAGCCGTGTAGAGTTCTCTTGCGGCGGTTTCACCGGTACCTGGCAGAGCCAGAGGCTCTTCCTGTTTATGGAGCAGCGATTGCTCCCTACCTGAGGACAGAGGCTGAATTTTAATGACTGAGCTCAGAGGGGAAGCCAAGGCAAGGACACAGCTTGTAATTTGACAGGAAGCACCATCGGGCTGTTGCTATACTGAAACCCGCCGTGCGTGTAAAGAGAAGGGGACGTATGGCAGCCTGATACGTTTCCGGCTCTGCATATGTGATCTGCACCGGCCTTTTCCAGCGCCCTTGATGGCTCCCCAGTGTTTGTAGTCCTCTTTGATGATCTCAAACATTTCTTACTCACTTGTATCTTGACTCTTCCCCGATAAAGAAAGGCTAGCCAAGATCCAAACATGAGTTCATGGCAAAGTTGCAAGAATATCTTTGACTCTCCTCCTGCCCCAACTCCTGCAGCCTGGGAGGAGATGGAGAGATAACACAGAGGAGCATAGTCAAAGCCTGGAGGTAGCAGGACATGTCTGTATCCCTGCCCCGTGCAGGATGTCTGTGTGCACAGCAGTGTGGGGAGAGAAGTAGCTGGGTTGGATGGGATGGATAGTGGTGTCCTGTACCTTGACACCCTGCTTGTCCTCGAGCAGAGATGGTCTTACCTGTGGCTGGGACGGGGAAGGCTCTGGGCTTGAGCCTGTCTAGCACTTAGCCCACCGGTGCCCCAGTCCACAGTGGACAGGACTTACGTGGTCCAGCCTCTCTCAGAGGTCAGAACTATGTGGATTTGGGCTTGACCCATCAGCGTCAGTGCTGTGAGTTCAGAAATAGGGGTCCGGCTGTGGCTATCCCAGAGCTGGTGGGCAGCCTGCCTGCAGGCCTGTCTTTGCACAAGCAGATCCCTTCTCACTCAGCTGCTCCCCTTGACCGGGAGACCCAGGCTCTGGCTTGCATGCTGTCTATGCAGCAGTGCCCAGAGTCCTGCCAGCGTCTGGGAGCTGGAGAGCAGCGAGGGCCCGAGGGGCTAAAGAAGGAACCTGTAGTTGCCCCTGGGATAAGAGTGAGGCTATAAACCTGTTTTTTGTTTGCCGGCCCCTCTGTGGCAGGGCATGTCCAATACCCCTGCTGCCATGCAAGGGGCTGTAGGTTTCTATACAGTGCTGTTGTGGGGGGTCTCCAGGCTTCCTGTGGCATTCAGGGGAGAAGCCAAAGCTGGTGTAGACCTGCAGGAGCTCTCCCCAGCATGCCACAGCAAGCCTCGATCTCAGGTGGGAGCAGCGGGGGATGAAGGGGCAAGCAATACAGCAGCTCAGGCCAGGCTAGATTCCAGCCTTGCAGCTTTCTCCACAGCATATCACTGCTGTCTGAACATATTAAGGCCTTCTCCTTTCTCCTCTTGCAGATGTCCTTGCAAAGATACCGCAGAGCGTGGAACCAGGTCAAGATGTCTGGTAACCAGCACTAGGCTTGTCTGATGCTGCAAGGCGGGCAGTGAAAGCTGCAGAAGGAGGCAACCCAGTGGGGAAGTTTGCTGTGAAGCGGGTAAACGTAGCACCCTGCAAGCTGCAGTGAGATGAAACCACTTCTGCATGAAATGATAAAGAAACCCATGGCTCTGTTGTGAGGCCATCTCTTTGGTCTGTCCCAGCATGTGCTGGCTTCCACCAGGCTCTGCTGCCTGGCCCCTGCGCAGGCCCTGCTAGGTCAGCCAGCTCGGCTCTGGGTGCTCCCCCCTCCCTCCATCACCACAAGCAGTTATCCTCTGGTGATCAAATCTGACATGTTCACAGGAATTGTCCTTTCTCTCGGGGCAAGCCCTGGTGATCACTTAATGCAGGAGGAACCAGGGGGGATTCCCTGGGAGACGTGGGAGTTCAACATCTCTGAGTGTGCACCAACAATAGAAGAGAGCAGAGCAGTGTGAGCATATAGGGCAAATCATTTCAACACGGCATGCATGAACCAAGCAGGCTTTCTGATCGCAAAAGGATACTTCATTTACCTAAAGAAACAAAACAGCAAGAAGGGAGCAGCTACCCCCTTCCCAAGCACCTGGGGCAAGTGTAAGTGTCCCTTGGAGATGGGAAATGTTTTCCCGCTGCAGGAGTTATAAATGATTTCAGATGGCCCAGCCTCAGATGAGTCCAGGTCTGTCTTTCCCTTCTTGGGGTTGAAACCAACTTCCTGAAATATCCTCACTGCTGGTCTGGAAGCCTCTTCCCAGTCTCTGGGTGGAGCCTGCAGATCAGCTCGTGCCCTGACTAGCATGGGGAATGCGGGAGGTCCTCTCCTCTCAGTGGTGGCCAAGATCCAGTCACTGTAGTAGGACACTGCGGTATACAGGAACGGTCCGTAGCATCTCATGCCACCCTCACTGAGAATGCCTTTCAGGACCCATTTCTCAGTCCCTCTAATCTGGCACATGACGGGGTTGCCGGCATCACCCTTTTGAGAGACAAAAAAGGCAGGGTTGTGTCTCAGCAGTATCCCTCCTGCCATTGCTCTCAGTGGCTGTGGACTTCACGGGGGTGAGAGGAGGGCAGATCACAGCACTTCGGTCCTTTATCATCACTGACAGCAAAGCACCGCTGGTTCAGGGGGCTGGCTGCCTTTGGGCTGATGATGTCCCTGTGTGTCCCAGATGAAGTGACCGGCATCGCTCCCTGTGGCTGCCCACGCCCCCATCAGCCCAGCCCCATGCCTGATCCTTCGGTATGTACCACAAGGAACGCCTCTCGGTTTTGCCTCCTGAGCATCTTTGACCCTGGCCACATCAAAAGCCCTTTGAGGCCCCAGCAGCTGGAGAGGTCCAGGGACCAGGAGCAGCGCCCACAGGCCTGCAGGGAGACAGTCACCCCGCAGCTCATGCAGAGACGGGTGTCACACGTTCACAGTGTCCCATGCCTGCTATGTGCAAACTGCGCGGAAAGGGATCTTTTCCTGTAAGGACTGATCAGAAGAAGCCCAAGTATTTTGGCTGCTCTCCCAGCCTGGAGTTGGAGATGAGCAGAACGGGGAGGAGGTGGTTTGGCTAAATGTGTGCCCGGTCTGGGTTGGTGCTCTGTGTTCCTTACCAAACAGCCTGCCACTTTGTCGGCGTCCCTGTGGCTGCAGCATGCAGTTGCAGTGATCCTTTTCAGCGGGCAGGGATCCACGTCCACCACAGAGAGCATCCTCAGGAAGTCGCTGCAGCACTTTCCCCTGCCTGGCCGAGGGACCACCGTGAGCCTGTGGCTCTGGGCAGCCCCTGGCCTCCAAAAAGCAGGGATGGGTGACCAGTGGGTGCTTCTTCCTCTCAGGACAAGCCCTGTTCCCCTTCCTCCCATTGGGGCTGTTGGCAGGAGGGAGCGGGAAGGCGGCTCTCTGCCCTGCTGGAGGGAGCTCTTTGCCACCGGAGCCGGGGGGTTACCTGCGGTGGGATGGATCCAGCCCGAGACCCAGCAGTTCACGAGGTCCGAGGCAGAGAGGCTCCCGTAGGGGAAGCAGATGGGCTGAACGATGCTGCTGAACTTCAGTGGGGTGGCTGTCCTGAGCAGAGCGACGTTGTTGTAGAGCGTCACCTCGTCAAAGTCCTCGTGGGGGATGACAGAGCTGATCGAATACTGGGGCTGGTCCTCCCATCGCCTCTTCATGGCGCTCAGCCCAACCAAGGCCAGCACCTGCTGCCTGCGGGGGGTGGACGGAGGGGGCTGGGTGCAAGAAAAAGCCTGGGGCAAACTCTGCCTGCCCCCGGTCTGACTGAAGGGTGCTTGCCCAGCTGCTGGGCAGCGACAAGACCCTCCGGAGCACTGGGAGGTGGCGTTATTCCCTGCCGATTCCCAAGCCTTGCCCAGGGCGATGCAGGGCCCCTCGCAGGGCACAGACCTGCTCCGCAGGCTGGATGCGGCGCTGAGGATCCAGTGCTCGTTCAGGATGGAGCCGAAGGCCAGGAGGTTGCGCTGCGTGTCCTGCAGTGCCACCACCCACGGGAACTGATCCGTGGCCACAAATTCCTGCACTGATCTCCAGGGGGATGGGCTGGCCTGGATCCCACAGGCTGCAGGGAAACAGGGGGCACATCGCCGGGTGTGCCTGGCCCTGTGCTCTCCTGCCGCTCCCCTCTTCCCTCTGATGCCCCCTTGCCCCTTGCTGTGGCTGTCCCAAGCTTTGGCCTTGCCTGGGACTGATGCCAGCATCACTCAGTCTCGCTCACCCACGGGGCCGAGCTGGTGGCATGGCGTGTGGTGCGTGAGGGTCAGATCATGCCACCTCTCTCACCTGATGCTGGAGCGGCACAGAGACACAGCAGCATGAGGCTTCGCACTGCCCCAGCCGGGCAAAGAGCTGGGGCCGGGGAGCCAGGGCCCCCCTTCTCTGCCTGCCTGCGGGGAGAGGGGGAGACAGCGTGCTGGGTGCCAGCTGGCAGCTGGCCTGGAGGGGCTTGGTGTGCCTGTGCTGAGCATGCCAGGCCGGTTCCTCGCCCTGGTACGTGGGCGCTGCACCTCCCAAGCACCCTGGCAGCAGGCAGGGACACGGGGAGACCCAGTGGGCCCATTGCCAGCTCCCCGGCTCCCACCACCTCTCCATGGGCCTCATCCTGCTGCACTCTGCCTGCTCCATCACGCCGCTGCCGATACCCCGCTGGCCCCATGCTGCCCCCCCTGCTCGGCACCCTGATGCTGCCACGGTGCCCAGGCAGCAGGATGCGGGCACAAGCTGCTCTGTGAGCTCACCGTCGCTGCGGCGGCTCACAGGACCCTGCTGGCATTCCTGCACGGTGGAGGGGGCTGTTGGAGGCTCTTGCAGCACATCTGCCCGCACAGAAAGGATCTCTGAGGCACAGCTCCTCCTGCCCTGGGCGCTGCTGGATGGTTTCTCCCTGGGACAGCCTGTCCTGCCCAGGAGCTTCCTTTCTGCGCGCCCACTGGGGTCTCTGCCCACTTGCAGGCCGAAACAAGGGCAGCAGGAGGCAGGAGGAGCTCTGCTGCTGCTTAAGGGGACTTCTAAAAAACTGAAAGACCCCAAAGTGCCTGGGGGTGGTGGAGGGTAGCAGGGGCTGTTACAGGGCCACGACCAGCCTGCGGCTGGGCTTTCCTGCAGGGAGGTCCTGGTGGGGACAAGAAGTCCCTTCCCAGCTCATGAGAGGCCAAGTGTGCCTTTGGAGAGCAGGACAGAGAAGGTGGGATGGTGTGAGGGATGTGAAAACTCCTTCTTTCCATCAAGGATGAGAAAACTGTTGAGAAAGAGAAATTACAGTACCCCTCGTATGCACTAATTAATAGCCAGGGGTAAAAGGAGCTGGCGGAAGGCAGAAAGCAAAGGCACTGGGGCTCCTGGAGGGCTGATATGCTGCCCGCAGGTTATCCCCGGATCGTTCTCCCTGGCGAGGCGTGCGGTGGCTGCGGATGCTCATGCCCAGACCAACCTCTTGGGTGCCCTCTGCAATACTGGGGATAAGGACAGCCAAGGGGAAGGGAAATGGTGCTGGGAGAAGGCTGGAGGGAAATCCAGGTTCGAGCGCTTGTCCAAACCTGCATACAGACTAGGGCAGCACCAGCTGAACTGATTTTTTTTCCCAGCATCTGAATACATGTTTATTATATGCAGAATTAGCAAGGGCAGGGTCCATGCAGTGGCATGTTTAGGACAGGGGCATCCCGGGGAAACCTTGGATGTTTTTTTCATGGTTGTCTTCTTCTCCCTAGATATAGCCAATCCAATGGCTGTATATTTCCTACAATTTCCAATGTAGGAAATTCAGTACTCTGTGTTCCTGCAGTAACTCTGTTAGCGCTTATCTGTCCCACTGAGAAGGGCCCGTCGTGTGTATTATCCCTGGCTCTTGTGATGTGTTTGAAATGCTGTGGGAACCAGCCGGGAGGCAGCTGATGATCCCAAGGCCCGTTTGTAATTGATTTGTGCCAAAAGGGGCCACTTAACCCTGCAAGAGCTGGGAAAACATCTCTGAGAGGTGGGTTTCACCCTGCCCTCCCCATGGGGGTGCCACTCCGAGGCTGGTCCCGGCTCACTGGCTGGGCTGTTCCAACGCGATGCCGGTGTCACCACAAACAGAATGTTTCCAAAGGTGATGCTGGCAGCTGACAGTGACACTGCTTGAGCCGGAGGTGCTGGCACCCGACTCACTGTGAGCACGACTTGACTTTTTTAATGTTATCTGGATCCACAGGGGTCAAAGCCAACCTGCATGAGACCAGGTGCTGGTGGAACCATGACCAGCTCATGTCCTTGACCCATGGGCTGTGGGTCGGCCAGCTTGGTGATGCCGGTCCCTTCCTGCTTTGCAGGTCTCAGAGGAGGTCAGCACTGCCAAAGAAGCACGACCCCCATGGCAGCTCTCAGGGGCAGCGTGGGACCCTCCCCGAGGCCAGCCCAAGCCTCTTCCTTTGCCCAAAGGACCAGCTGCCTCCTTGCCACTGCTGCTGGGAGACAGGCACCTCTCGTGAGGAACCGCAGCCTCCCAGCAGCCTGGCCGCAACCTCGGAACTATTGAGTTTTAAGCCCCGTGGTTAACGAAGCTGGCCTGACTCTGCATGGAGATAAAGCCTGAAGCCTGCCTCCAGCTCTGCCCACAGCAAGCTGAACACGGCGCTTCTGTGAGCCTGCACAAAGCCTCCCTTGTGCAGGAGGGGATCCAGCCAAACAAGTGATCTCCTTGGCTGCGTGTCTCCTGGCGCTCCATCATTTATATTATTTGCTGGATTGTTCCCACTACCAAGGAAAATTTAACAAGTAAAAGCATCTGATAAAAATCTATTGACTGCAGTGAAACACCAACCCAGCCGAACCAGTCTGTACAGCACGACCTTCGCAGCCTTTGAGACACGTTCATTCTGTTTACCACCTAGAAAAACAAATGCTGTGTAGTACTGGCAACAACCGCCAGTGCGAAGGCTTTGATTAAAGCTTGTATTACCAAAGTGCAGTAAGATGTTTGAGAGCCAAGTGCCGCTTCCTTCCCCAAGCCCGGTTCCCTGTTGTGCAATGACATGTCTCTTAAGTCATCTCCTTGTCATTTTGTGCTTCTCCTTTTGTGTTTCCAGATCACACTGCTCCCCTTGCTGCCGGCCTTAGCACTAAGGTCCTGACTCCTGGCTTCTGGTGACAGCCCTTCTGGCCGGGTGCCCAGCAGGAACAATGCACCTTGTCTTTGCTGAGGAACTCTGCGAGAAAACTTTTGGCCACTGGTGCCTTTAAGTCTTACAGGATTACTCACAGGTGGTTCAAATCTCGCCTTGGAGACAAATCTTCAAGGCAAGATTTGTCTCCAAGGCGAGATTTGAACTATCTGTGAGTAATCCTGTAAAATTCCAGTGCAGCGATGGATGGTTTTGGTTCTGTGCTGGAGGCAGCAGCTGCAACTGAGGCTCCCATGGCGAAGGCATACACGGCCTGGATGGGTCAGGTACCAGCACGCACGGCAGAATGAGGCCACCAGCATGTTGCTCTTGGTTGAACTCATTTCAGCAGATAGGGAGCACACGTGAGCAAACCCATCTCACACCCAGAGATGATGGTGTTTGCCATCCTCAGAGAAGGTGGCCCGGGACTGTGCGGCCAGCAGTGAATGACTCCAGGCGAGTAGAGCTATTGGACAGGAGATCTGTTGCACGGCTTACTTAGCCAGCTCCATGGCTTGAATACATCTCTGGGTGGGAACCTTGCTGTTTTATCAAAGCACACATGGAGACCGTTGAGGGTGCTGCCTGCAGCAGCTGTGGCAGGGCATTGTTCCCTGGCGTGACCCACGGTGCTCTGGTGCAAGGGCTGTAGCAGCTCAGTGGGGCCATTTGGCTGGAGTTTGCATGGAGCAGCCTGGTGATGGAGAGGGCACCAAGTGACCCAAGAGACGTTTTGTGAATTGCTCAATACCTTTTGAAGGACACCGGGGTCAGTGGACCCTTCAAATCCCTTCCAGTCCTGTCCCACATGAAATCCCTCCCTCTCAATAAGAACAGAGAACAGCAAATAAAAAGAGAGGGGAGGTATTAAGAAAGCCAAGGCAGAAGAGGAAGTGTCTGAGGAGGCCTTTGTTCAATGTTATAACAATGGTGCGAAGAGCTGATCCAGGATAAACCCACCTTGCTGGCTCGGATTTGCTTACACGTCAGTGGGCTAATGTTTCACTGAGAGGCTTTATGCCAGATCAGGTATCAGCCACCCTTCAGCCACTTACACATGAGAAGTGACCAAGACACAGATCCTCACAGCTCTCACCACTCTGCTCGACTCCCTCACCTTCGCTATGGACAGACACCAACCTGCAATTCTTTATTTTTCTCTCTGTAGCCAGATGGGAGTTTTACAGCCTCGGTAGATTCTTCCACACTAACGATAAGGGTACTTCAAACCTGGGGTTGTATTGCCAGCTACATTTTGTGTAGAAAGGAAGGCAGAAAGTAGAGGGCAACCAGGTTCTGGGCAGGTCAGAGGACAAACAGTCTCCAAGCTGAGTCCTTCTAGCAGTGGATGATGTAGTAGTCCTGGAAGTACAGGCAGCACCGTTAGAGGAGGGCCCAGGACCAGGCTGGTCCCACACGAGCGTGTTACTGTAGCAGCCATCAAAAAGCCATTTCCACAGGCAGGACAGTGGGATCCATCAGGAAAAGCAAACAGCAGTTACTAGCAGGAGTCTGGTCAGTCAGAAATACCATTCTCTAAGGGATGTGCACGCCCTTAACTGGAGGACAGATCCATACTGAATTAGCTTTTCTATTATAAGGATGATGACTCAATTTATTTCTAAAGGGTGCCCTTGCCAAAGGGCTCTGTGTCTGTGTGCTTCATAATAAAACAATTAAAAACCCCATTAATGCTAAAATCTTACCAGGGTAGCAAAGAAAGGAGAAAGAAAGGGTCTTTCCCTTCCCACAGAGCCAGGAGCTGCCAAATTTACAGGCATCGTGGGAATGGAAAGAGTTTGAAATTATTTTTAAAGGCTGGAAGAGATGAGATGGGAAGGATTACAGATGGCCACAGGTTTTGCACTCAGAAATCATCGCTGTTTGACAGATTGTTACACTGGGGAAATCTGCCCCCAGACAATGCTCAGAAGCTTTCAAATAAGTGGCAGGCTCACTGTGGATCGGGTGACCCAGTCCACCCTCCCTGGGCTGGTTACAAAACCCTTCCAGCTCTGGTCTCACTCACTGAGACTGGAAGTTCAGGTATAAATGGCTCAAGGATCTGATTTATGTTTTCTCGCCTCTCCGATGGCTCTAGATGTTAGGCAAAGCCTCCAGAGAATGAGGAGGTGCCTTCCTGATGGACTTACAAACAAGGGATGCTGGATGCTTGGCTGGTTTTTGTGACGAAAATGAAGGATGCTCTTTGTGACGCAGCAGGAATTACACTGCCACGGAGCACTCCATCCTGGAACCGATCCTTCGCAGAGTCTTGCCTCTTTTATTCAGGTCAGAAAATCAAAATCGACAATTTTAACTACCAGCCTAAAATGACAATCTTTGTGCCTTAATTGTTAAATATGATTAAAATAACAGTAGCAAGAGCTTTGTGATCAGTGCCCTGATAGATTTACGTTTGCTGGCAGATTCCTCATTTTAATGTCAATCTTCCCATACCTGAGATGGCATAGCAGTAAACACCCCAAACCAGAACATCTTCAGTGAGATG